CTATCACATTCGTAGCATGCCGAAATCGCTGACAAGAGAGGAACGTCATAACAGCATTTAGCACGCACGTGCGCAAATAGAACGTATGTATATGAACACGAGACAACGATCGCTGATCAAAGTGAACAATCAGATCAAACAACCCACCGGCATTCTCGTATGTCTGATCATTCCCCTCATGAGAACGGGCTTTTTAAAAATAATGCAACAGAAAACTATTGTCTGACTGATGTCGTGACTGGCGGAGAATATTTATCGTAGCAACCTTTGAACTGCGTCGCGAGTAAAACTGATTTCCTTGACTGGCGTTCGTATTTTTAGTGTAAGTCGGAATTTTCACTTCGCCTGGCAACTGTGATCGAAACTGTGAAAGAAGAAGAAATATATGCGAATTCGGATAAATCTCTTATTTTATCAGAATGATTCGCGTTAGCTGGACAATTTGAACGCGCGAGAAAATTTATTAAATAATCTAGAAGCTGATAAACATACATAGAGGACGTGAGAATATTATATATATAATATAATAGTATATATAGCGGATACGATAGAATTTATTTACATGCCCGCGTTAAATAGTGGAGAAATTGAAAATAAGAAACAGACACGCGTTTATAATCGCAATTAGGTGATTAAATAACAATAACGGAGATACAATACTCGAGGTTTATCGTATACAAAATATTAATAAGTTTATTTTCAAGCTTGACATTCGCAGGGGGGCACAGATCGTCGGGAGGGCGATTACGACCTTTCCCTTTTTTGTAATTCCCTTGCAACTCCATTATAGACTGTGGTTGAAGTCTCGCTACAAATGCTTTGAAGAATTTGATAGAGACCAATTAGAAGAAAGAATTTTACAAACTGATCAATTAAAAAACGCTTCAAAGCATCGCTTGCAGCATCGCTTTGATCGTACCCACGGATACAGGAGTTTAAGGTACACGAAAGAATTTATGCACGATCACATCTCGCCGATGATACTACCATCGGCCGCCACAGTTGCCGTGTTTGCGGTGCAACAGAGAGAGAGAGAGAGAGAGAGAGAGAGAGAGAGAGAGAGAGAGAGAGAGAGAGAGAGAGAGATAGAAATGTATAAGAACGTTAATAAAGTTCCATGATATTTCCTCTGGTGGTCTCGTCTTTGATCTTTCTCTTTGTAAAAAATTCAGATTATCTCACACCGACATAATTAACGCGTATATACATTGTGATACATTGTGTGTGGTTCTGAAAAAGTTGAGCATTATCAATTAGCAAATTCGAGCGCGGATAACATATAGAGTTTATCTAAAAAAACAAACGTAGGAAACAATTCCTCTCTTCACATGTATTATAATAACTTTAGACAATTTGCGAGACATTGCTTTGATACTTGTTAAACTCTATATGTTATCCGCAGTCGAATTTGTTAATTAATAACGATCAATTTTTTTCAGAACCACGCACAATGTATCACAATGTATATGTGAACGAAATCGTATGCGTGCCGACGGGACGATGAACTCAAAAAACAAGTTGTGTTCCTCGCTATTATTCTCATTTGGATGCTTTATTTATGACTAACTACATATATGTTATAAGTCTTCCTTTCGACCGTTTTTATATCATTCTTGCTGTTCGAGTTGTTTATATATATATATATATATTTCATACTTTGAGGAAAAACAAGATTCATGTCATCAATTAAAAAAACCTGTTTGAGCTCCGAAACAGATAATATGTAAATAAAGTTGTAAGGAGTTTTGTGCAAAGAATGAAAGAATGGAAAATATTAAAATAAAATTTAAATGCTTAAGCGTTCTAAATGTTCGTATACGACTGTTATCGTATTAAAATAATTTTCTGTTTCAGAAGTGATTAATTCACTGGACCAAGCAACTAAGTACCATTCAATGGACAGAACGCTGGTTTCTAATACGTATGTATGTAATGTTTAAACAGATGGCATGGATTTGTTGTCATAAGCTTCAGCATCGAGTATCAATCACGTAATGGAACAGCTTCTATTCTGCTCCCTTATGATCTCGGCTGCAACCCTGCTAACGGAATATTAAGCGTGGTAATGTACCTCCGGTGTGCCACGCGACAAACTTTGAACTGAGCTTATTGAATTGGACGTACGGTCGTCCGTCATCCATCAACATAGCTGGCTGATTCAATATTGATGAACAATACCAGGGTTAAACGAACTTCGAAGTAGATTTTAATCCGACTATTTGAAGTTGAAACTGACGGAATAAAATCCGCTCTTTCAAGCTCGTTTTACTCTAGTACTACCGCAGGTTGATACTAAACCTGTCAATACTAAATAAACTGGTTGCGGTGATATATACGAAAATTTATGATAGCAAAAACAATTACGTCTCTTCACAGCTTCTAATTACATTATATATTGCAATTATGATTGTTCCTCGAGAACACAAGCATAACCTTTAAATAATTAACACGTGTGCTGTTCAGAGATGTAAACATAATCGCGAGAAATGGACGAAAAAGACACCGTTTTACCCTATGTATAAGATATTAATGGAAAAGTGTTTGATATGCAAAAGACATGTTAGCATTTATTAGCTTGAACGTTTAAAGAATAAAAGTGTTTAGTTCATTGCTAATGTTTAAATTTAAAAATTGATTTTTTAAAGATAGATTCTTGATTATATATATAATTATATATGATTTACTGGTTTTTGTTTAGCCATGGCCCGTGAGTAAATAAATGATTATCTTTCTGTCATCGTACTTTAGTACGTAAATACACGCTGTTATAAAGCAGGCTTTTGGCAAACAGCGAACAAAGAACAGATGGTTAATCATGTGCGCGCCCCTCGATGCTTCTCCTTTTCGAATATATTCCAATTTTAATTGATCCCTTGGATCAATGTACAGTGTGTGCAAAAAGTATAAAGAAATTCGTATAAAGAAAATTTTTATAAAAGCCTTATTTGTTATAGAAAATAAGCAATTAATTAGGAATTTTATACAATAAATACGTTCTGTTCTAATATAAACAAACGCGACAGTCTATTTTATTCTTTATGAATAAATTTAATTATTCCCAGCAAGAAATAATCGTCAATTGGACATCGAAATTGTTGTCAATTGTTGTCAAAATCATCGCATCGATATCTATTCAACATCAATTTGATTTCATTTCTCGCTAGATGTTTAAAAATAAATTTTTAAAGAATATTTTCCCCTATGAATACCTATTTTTTGCACTTACTGTATCTGTCAGAAAAACCAATGTAGGATGTAACGAGAGGTACAACAGGAACGAATGAAGGGTTGTCTACCAATTAAAACAAGAATTTCAGCGGATATTTCGATTAAAAAGATGAAGCATGAGAATGGGAGGAAACACGCTTGAAACATTTTTTTTAAAATAAAACTAACATAAGTTGAAATAAAAATATGATAAGATAATTTCTTTATCTTATTTATGCCTATGCACTTTTGTTTATGATAAATAGAAACAAATCTGCATTATAAATGCAAAACCATTCATATGTACATATATACATATACTATAAATGATTCTAAGTTTATACCTAATGCAGCTGATTTGCATTAATTTATTCGTCTTTGATAAAATAGAATAAAAACACTGCTAGCGTTATTTAAGCATTAAAAAAAATTGAAGAAGCAATTTAGCTTTTTAAAATTGTAAATAGCACATACGTAAAAATCATATTATTAAAATACTTGTTGCTGAATGTACTATGTGCAGCAAGTAAAAGAAAAAAGGAGTAATGTCGTCTCCTCAGTTTTTCCTTATCATTTAAATAATTAGTACTATTTTTATTCTCTTATGTCAAGACGAGTTTTTTCAAACGCGTTTTTTTTTTTTTTATCAATATCAATGTCACGCGGCAGCCTGCATGTTGACACGTGCGATCTACCGTGTTCTTTTTAAGAATTTAGAACGATATGACGTTATTCGGTGTACAAGTCAAATAAAATAATTTCTAAAATAAGACAAATTTTACAAGATAATCCTTCACAGCAGTTCTCAAATATTCATGTGATTAAACTCCACACAAAATTCTCGGCACGTCGTAAACCTTTATGATATTATCGTAACTTTACGGAAGCACGTACGAGTGTAATAAAAATAAATAAATGTAAATGTAAATGTTCTAGCGCGCGCGGCGCTCATTCAGTGCTAAACATAAATATTATAACTCGCCCATGCGATAAACGCGTCGCGATATTTGTGTTTTAACAGTAATACCAAGCGGTATATTGCGCCAGAAGCGAACGTCGCGTTCTTGGCCGCTAAATAGCGCTAAACAGCCGAAGCTCCACAAACATTCTCGCGGAAGATTTTGGTGTTTATTTCCCGTCTCTTCCCCCCATTGACTCCAATGAAAAGAATCTCACGCGAGATAAGATAAGTCGAATACGTATTTCCGATATTGAAATAGGAACGGTTCGCGCATTTTATCGTTTCATCCCGAGTCGTACGAAGCGGGTCGAAAAACTCGTCGTCTATCGTGAGAATTTTACCGGCTCAACGGAAGCAAACTTTCAGACGCGTGCGGAGATCCGTACCACAGCGGGACGTTCGAGACCCGAATTATCTATGTATTCTATGAAATGGCATTGTAATCTCGTAATCTCGTACGGGATCACGATGTTGCCCGTCGGCAAAGAGCATGCCGAGTGATACACGAGGGAATATTCCTCTCAAGAATCTCTGCACATCGGCGACTAGCATTCGTCCAATCGGCGACCGTCTCTCGCGCTTTTGTGTGCGGAACAACTCTTTTATTCGTCGAATAACGCAGCTGTATCCTCCAGCTATTCTCTGCATATCGTTTGGGACTGTTCGTGATCCGATGAGAAAGAGAAGTATAGGGAACGCGCGTGCGAGAGAGAAAGAAAGAAAGAAAGAGAGAGAAAGAGAGAGAGAGAGAGAGAGAGAGAGAGAGAGAGAGAGAGAGAGAAAGTAAACGTAACGAGAGAGATAACAAGTAGAGATTTGCACGCGATATTACCTGTTACTCGTGGCTGTGTCCAGCATGGTAATTCAATACCGCTTGGATGAATATGGCGGGCGGGGAGATGGCTATCTCAACATCCCCAATTCCCAGGAGAATCTTGACAAGAGGATTCTCGTCGAAAAGCCGAGGAATTACCGGACTGGTTTCCCCTTAAGGGAATACCTTAAGTTCAAGGGATTGAACAAATCAAATATTCACGCGACAAGAGGCGCCAAATGGAGCGAAAACCGGATGACGGGAAACCACATCGCACAGATGCCACAATTCGAGGGGCGCGTAAAGTAGACAATACGGTAGGGTGTTCGAACTGGTAACGAGCTGGGCAAGAGGGGGGGGGGAGGGGAAAGGAGAGGGAATGGGAAGATAGGAAAAGAGGAATTTCTCGTGTTTCTTTTTTTTTTTTTTCTCCGAAACTTTCCGCGGAACTCGCGAGACGCGCTTGTGATCGCGTGCCGCTCCGCGGCGCTTCGGTGGCTTAAGGAAAATGCGAAGCGATAAACGAGCCGATCACGGTGAACTATAACAACGTATCAATGATCGTTGATCTCCGCGGTTTCTTTAGACTCGAATTCGTCGTCTTAGCGTACACGCACACACATTATTTCTCGCCACAAATCGATTCGACTCGCGAACTACAAGTGACTTTCGCGCGACACAGCCACACATAAGCTAAGGCCGCAACATACTGAGGAAACACATGATTCTGGGGCCTAATGTGATAAATGTGGTTACTACGTAGGGGGCACCACTATGTTGTTACCATCGATCGCGTCGATCCCATGATCAAGATCGATCCGTCGATCATGTCGATTTCTCGCTTATTCGATATATAACGCGCGCTGATCGTAAATGTTTTATTTGCACGGAAGCACATATAACGATGATCACATTGATTGTTGAATCTGACAAAAAGAATTTCAAACTACTATTTGTAACGATACTACATGTACACAAACTCGTTCTTCAATTATTTCAAACGCGCGCGTGAGAGACAAGAGAAACCAATTGCTTATTTATAAATCAACCGAGATTGAAGTACATATATTAATATTATATTTACAGTAATTAGATGTAATAGAAAATTCAATAAGAAGCCGGAACAATTGTTCAATCTTATTTTTTTATTTAATCTTGCAATTGCAAAACGCAAGAGCAGATCTAGCAAGAATTACATTTACTACTAATAATTATTAATATTTAATTAATAATCCTTAATATATATGATAGTTTTTGGCACCTTTACCATACACCGTGGATCTTTCGTGCCCTATTAATTTTCATCACATTAACAAGTACGTAAAAATTATTACGTACTTTCTATTCTTACATATACTTTGATATTTTTAAAAAATATTTGTAAAGTTGTATGTATATTTATAAAAGATTGTATATAAATATTATAACCGATTAAAGTCGATAAAATGAGAGAAATGCTCTTTTTCTATGTAAAAATGTAAAACTACCGAAAATATTTTTTTACAGTACATAAACGGGTAAAAACGTTTATTGCATTTAAATTTTAAATAATGCATCGTTGATATTATGTTACAAAAAAAATTACAATAAAATGGAAAAATATTGCTGAATTTTTATTTGAATATTTTGGAATTTTATATATTTATTACATTTTTAAAAATATTATTTATAATAACGTAACCATACGTTTTTTATTTTTAACCATATCATTTTTTATTTTTTTTTAAATTCGTAAAATTTTTGTAATATAAACGAGAATTGTTGAGAATAAAAAAAATTTTTTAGCAAAAGGGATTATACTCTATACACGAGAGTCTTTTGCGCCCTAAGGTGGAATGAAACGGTCTTGTCAGACAATACAAGAACGGGAGCTGGCAACGCACAAAATTTGTTCTCTAGATGTCAAAATTTTTTTTTAGAAAAAACAAAGATTATTATTTAGCCAAATGTTTTTAATATTTTAAGAAAAGAACGCTGAGGATACAAATGATCCAATTGTATGTATTAAAGGATTAATAGAATGTGTAACGTTGAAAACAGATAGAGGGCAAATAAATGACTATTATAAATATTCTAGAATATTTTAGATCATCAAAAATTTTATGGATAATCCCAAAAAATTTTATAACCGGTATGAAGAAGAAATTAACTGGCGTAATTATTAATCATTATTCTTTGCAATACGTTCTTGTATATCACACATAAAGCAGCTCAGTTAGAATTAACCTATGGATCTTATTTATCCCAAGAAAGCTTTCATATCTTAAATCAATTGTGTTGCGGCAACGGTTCTTGTTCCAATTTTATTTTAATTACATTTATATTCGTAAAATAGATGTAGAGATTAATCTTACGTGAGTCAAGTTTGTACGATAAATCTTACTCGATCCGCGAGAAGTAAATTTGGTACGTAAGTAAAATAACGTTAAGCATAATTTTTAGTAATATTTCATGACATTAAATATAAATTTAAGGCCCGTTTCTCTGTTTTCTTAATGTAAATTAACACATCCGATTATATTATCTGCTGTATGGGTCGTAATTCAGACAAATTTGATGACTAGCTCAAATGTTCAATCTGCGTCGCGGTCGGATCAATATATGAATAGACTATAACTTAGGGTTCTTGTATTAAGATAAATTTTCTTATTTTATAAAGGCAACAAATAAATAATCCGTTTTTAAATTTAATATTTTAAATTAGCTACTATTTAACGCGAATAAGGAAGAACCTCATTCATGTTACAGCTTAACAATAATGTCGTTATCTATATACAATTTTCATGAGCATATTTCAGCTGCAAACGCATTAATTCTTCTTATCAACCATTTATGCGCAATTATTTAATATATTTTACATTAACTATCAATTTCTTTATTACTTTGATCATATCGTCAAGATAATTAAATGACACAACTTGCAATATTGAAATGTTGGTACAGGATTGTATATTACATCACCGATGCTTTAGTTGCACAGAATTTCAAAGAAATGTTCTAATATTCTAAATCTAATATTTCGAGAATTACAATCCGCAAAAATCGAACATATATATAGCATACGTATACAAACTATAAGAGAGGAAAAAATTAATCGAAACAAATAATAGGCCTTTAACTTTAACTTCTTTTTTCTTATTTCTTTACTCTTTACACACTAATCTAGATAATAGACTATCGTTTCTCATCTTTTATAATTCTACATTTGTTTATGTCTGTGTCACTATAAATTGCCGGATATTTCAATCTAATTATAAGCGATTTTCTTTTTCATGTTAAACAATAATGTTGAAATTTATATAATTAACAATAATTGCAATTCGAAAATATTTTTTTCTAAAATAAAGAGGAACCGGTGTTTTTTAATCTCATTAGAAAGAAGAATTAATCTCATTCTCATTCAAAGAAGAATTAATCTCAATCTTTCAGGAAGAATTAATCTCATTAGAAAAGTCGTCTCGTAAACACAGTTTAAGCTGAATATTCTGTTTATATTGTGACTTTGAATAAATCGTAATAATTGTAATAATTGTCGATCGACTGTAAAACATGTATTAGAAGCAATACTCGTCTCACTCCTAAAATAGTTTATTGATCGCATTTATGAGAATCGAATCAAGTACTGGATTAAACTAAACATTTTCGCATTCTTTTGTTATCAAGAACAAAAAATTGAAGATATAGGTAAATTTTGTGCAATCAATGTAATGAAACTTTAAACAGAAAACGTAAGAGAGGGAGGGACGTACAAATTTTTGCATTAAAAGTTGTATTACACCTTTGAGAAAAAATATGATTCGATTAGGGATTCATACATATGTAAAGAATGAATTAACTTAGAAATATTTACGTAACATCGGAGAAAGAATAATTTAAAGGATTGTGAACACAAATTTAAAAAATTTATTTATTTATCAGGATGCACATACGTATATTATATTAGGCATTACTTATTGAAATTAAGTTAATTGTTTAAGAAGGAGATACTTTCAAAAAATTTACAAAAAGATTGAAAATCTTTAAAGCTTTTGAATATTCGCGAGTGGAAAATATCACTTAATAGCGAGATATATCACAAATGTGGGTTTTTTATGACGATCGCGGCATTTGACACATTTCATTACACATGCTTGTACGCGGTGCTGCACAGTTATTGAAAATAAAGCCAAAACCCACTTATTTATCTCGGCAGTTATCATTCTTGCGCTTTTCCATATTTCTTTTTCAAAGCAATTCAGGAATTTTCGTGATTTCTGACCTCTGTTCGTCTACGCGTTTCGATACATGCGTAAACAGCGCGTGTGCGAAAAATTATCTCGTTGCTCACAATACTGACTCCTATCACCTTGGACCCCTATTTTTAAAAAATATCGCGAAACGTCGATTCAATGTCGATTTCTGACTGGGTACATAAACAATTTTTTCCCGAGTTGTAGCTCATGAGCTTGCTTTAATTTTCTTTTTGTAATTATTTCACGAGCTTGTGCAACTTGGAAAAACATTTTATATGAACATATTGACGGCCGTCTGGTTCGAAACACTTCTCGGTTTAGTTACCGGGGACTTAGTTATTGGGGATAACAAACATCCAGGAAAAAGAATAAGCTGAATTAACTCGGTTCGGAATACACCCAGTATATGTAATGCATACTATAGTATTTCCCTAGTTTTTCGTATGCGACACTTTTCGAGAATAGGGGTCCTGGAATCAATTGAATCAATAAAGAAAAGTCACAGGCTGTAGCCGTTAAGAGTGTTCAGACTGGAAGCATCAAGCGTCAAGCAGCGAGTAGCAAATCAATATCAGCAAAGCGAGGCTTTGCTATCATATGCACAGGGGCGTAAAAAATATTGCCACGCTGACCGATTTTTCTGTTCGCTGCTTGACGCTTGACGCTTCTAATTTGAATGCATTTTAACACGTTGGCATTTCTTACAATTAGAAGCCCTCAAAAGAGAGGGCATGGTCTTTGTGATTTAAAATTTCATATAATTCTTATAAAACTAATCTTTTTTCTATTTTATTTGATCTTTTTCAATTAATAAAAAATCTTACTTTTAATAACAAAAATTTAACGTTTAT